ATTCAAATAAACATCAAACGAAAATTCTCAGTTTTAGACAATTCGATTTAAACGAAGTAAAGTAGCAGACGATAAAACGCCGAAGGTAAAAATTTACTCTTATTAAAAAAATAAATAAATAAATAAATAAAAGATAGAAATTAAAAAAAAATATTAAACAATTTATTAAAAAAAATAGCTTTTCATATAGTATAGTATAAATAAATATTTTATTAGGCATCATTGGCATCATGAGGAAAATATGTCATGTAATTAATTCCATAAAATTTTACTTGAAATTTAAGGTTAAAAATAGCTGTGGCAATACAGTGTGTAACAAAAATCCATAGACCACATTTGGCGTTATTATCGCTCAAAAAAAAGATGCCAAATTTCAAAACGCGAAAATATGTAAATTTGTGTATATCTTAGAAAATTTTGAATAAAAAAGTCTAATTTTTTGCAGATATGCTTAAAAAAATATACCTACTTTAAGATGATGGTAAAAATTTTATAGGTTATAATTCAAAATTGTTTTCGAAAAATTTATAAAAATTATTTAAAAAAATAGAAATTTAAAAAAATAAAACACAAAAAATGGGTAAATTTTATTTGGAATGAACCTAAATTTCGAAATGTGAGAGAAAAAAATCAAAAAAAGTTTAATAAAAAAAGAGATATAAATAAATATTTGCCAAATTCAATTAACATTGAGGAGCTAAAATTTTGAGAGCTAATATTTGAAAAACTACTCGTACGATTTTTACAAAACTTGGTATTCTGGCATAATTTGAGTCGTAGAATCGAAATATGTAAAAAAATTGGTATGTTATTTCAGAAAAAGTCCGATTTTGTGTCAAAATACCTATGTTAGAATAGTGCTATATATAAATCTAATATATATCCCAAGTCGCGCTTTCGAGACATGAAGAACGCAATTTGAATTTCATGAATAGCCCCAGTAGAACGGGAGATATAGCACTGTCCCATTTTTTTTTTTTTTTTGAGCAGTGTACATATGCAATAATTGAAAGCAAAACATACTACACCTTATGCCCACAGTATCAATGTTATTCAGTTACATGACAGCAAGAATACATGTTTCAAACTGGACAGGATATCATAAAATACTGTGCAATATATGTTATTTAATTAATTAACATTTGTTATTAGTTAATAGTATAAAAATAAAAGTTTAAGCATTATGCTGAAGAGGCTATTTCTCCTCTAGATCTGGTTATTGTATTTACACTGAAACAAGTGAAGCAACAGTTTACTAAAAAAATGCATATCAAATGAAATGATATGCATTTTTTGAGTATGTATTGATATGCATTGTTTTGAGTTACTTCATAACTTCCAGTAAGCCAATTAAAATATATAAAAGATATAAAATTAATTAAAAAGATATATTATTTGGCATTACTATCTTCCATTTAAGCACCACATAACTATTTTAATAGTATTAAAGCAACTAATGATAATCACAGACCAAAAACATAAACTTCAGCATACACAGGACATAAACGTCAACAGTCCGATTAGATATTATATGAATGTAACCATAATTAATTAACTGAAAAATGTCAATAAATGCTCCTATATTAGTTAATATATATTAAAAATTTCATATAGTTTTAAAACTATTATGGAAACTGCACAATACATTCATAAAATGAAAACTAAGTTAACTCTTTGGACTAGTCTTATAAAATAATTCAGATAAAGACTCACTGCTTTCATTTATACACGACTTCAAATATTATAATTACAGACGAATGGAGGTTAAATATAAGATGTTTCAACTTACATTATATAAGTGCCTGAAAAACAGATTCGCTACATATTACTAAAGCAGCAGCCATGATTCAGGAATTTCATACTATTCTTAAAAAATATAAATATATAAATCTTTTGGAAAATACAAAATCAGTCATCAGGTAGACACCAATCATGCCCTTAAAATAATAATAATAATAAAGATAAAAGTATTTGTTTAAGCTATGCTTTGCATATGTTTTAAACTTGTTAGAATTTTCAAGTTACTGGAAATTCATTTTCTGAACTTTTAATTATTTACAATATAAATTTCTATAGCAAGTGATATACGTATCATAGTCCTTTGACTTAAGAAATGTGGTTTGGTTAATATAAATAAGTTTTATGTTAATGCATGACTGAAGAAAATGAGATATGACAGATCTTTAAACACACCAGATGAAAAATATTAATGGAATAATTATTCTTAAAATGTAAAGAATGTTATAGTTATTATTCTTTAAATGTAAAGAATGTTATAGTTATTCTTTAAATGTAAAGAATGACATAAACAGCTAATTATTTCAGAAATGACATAATGTTTCACACTGAAAACACCAAAATGATTTAATTTTTTTTTTTTTTTTTTATTATTTTCAAGTTACATTTGGCAAACTGAAAATTCCAGATGTTACAAAATCATCTGTTAATAAATAAACTAAATACATGCAGTAAATGATAAAGTTTTTATGCATATGATGTAGCAGTTCATCACAGTTTTACTACACTAACACAAAAACAAATGAGCAAAAACATCGTTCTCCTACAGAACACATTGAAAATTTGAAATAAAATATGAGGTAAATGATCAAATGCATTAAATGAAAAATAAATACATCATCTTTATATTATTAAAATATGACTGAATGTATTATATAATGCATGCTAACCAAATTTATTATTTATCAAAACTTATTTAAATTTTCTAAATGAAATTATATAAATTATTAGATCTTATGAAAAATACTTAATAATATTAATTGCACATTCTTTGAATTTACACTTACAACCATTTAAATACATTTTGTTAATAATTAAAACTTAAAATTTTTATATTATATATTTGACATACTGTTAAGGTTCTCAAATCATAACTAGAAATACAATTTGTGGTAAAATGTATGTTTAAGTGTTACTGTTTTATGGTTAAGTATGTGATTTCAGAGCTACTTAATACTTTTATAGCCATATGCACCCGTAAGTAATTTTCAAATATTTTTTAAAAATAACTTAACATAACGTGAAATAAATGATATAATTTTCATTCTTCATCAGAATATCTCACATAAGAAAACAAAATCCTTAAGGAACTAATTTCACAGTACTTCTTTTTAACATGCATAATATTTGTTCTTTTTGTAATATTTTTATTAATTTTACAAAAAGTTAAAAATTGCTAAAAATACAATTTAAAAAATAAAAGAATTTTCTCCCCATTTTCTTGAACAAAATATTTTCAAATTTAAGAAAACCACTTAAGTGTCCACCACCATTTAAGCCAAGTCCAAACTGTGAGACACTAGTTAGCAGCACTTTTATACCAAATTCTTTATGTTTCCAGCAAAGTAAATCAAAATTATAAACATGCCTGGCTTAAATTAATTATATTACGTACATGTCTGATACTAAAATAAAAGCAGATATATCTTAAAAAAAATACTTAGCTTATGAAATTGAACTTTTCCTGGGGTAAGGGCAGAATTACCCACTGCTTCGTACATTTCTCAAGATTATGTGCCATATAAGTGGGCGATTTTGCATAGACTCGAAAATAACAAGCATTGCACAAACTTGTTATCCATGTACACATCAACCTATTTTCACTTAAAAAAAATCAGAGAATTGCACAAACTTGCCATTGCGCACTCCCTTGACTTTGTCCATGTACACACTGATATGCGCCATATAAGTGGGTGATTCTGCACTTTACCCCTTTTCCCTTCTGACTAAGTGCAAACCATTTATTTGAAATTTCTAACATTACCAATTACTTAAATGACACCCAGCTCTATGACAGAAAATAGATACCTTTACAAGCATTACATAAACTGTTTTTAAAAAAATGACAACTGTTTTTTAAAACTGACATGACATAATATCAATAACTGTTCTGTTTCAATTAGTAGTTTAGTAACAGCAATTTCTAAGAAAAAATAACATATGAAAGAAATGTGACCTAATACAGTTCTAAAGGAATATCAAATCACTAATCAGTTAAAAAAATTAAAAATATATAAAATGGAAAGGTGCAATGATCAGTCAATCCTTTAATTATTCCAGCATTTTCTAGAGAATTACATATTAATACTTCGCATATTCAACCAGGATGTATGCAGTAACCTGATATAACTAAATTTAAGATCAATTTTCGTAAAAATTTACAAAAACTCAAGTGTTATATAACAACTTAATTATATTTATTTTATTACAAAATGATTAATAAATTAATTAACACTAAACTTTATACATTTCTTAACCACTTGACACAATTCATGATCACTTCCAGTATTCTCATCTGTACATACATTAGCTGAACAGAATATCCCATCCCAAAAGTATTTAAGTTATAAATTTTAATAAATGTGACACTTATTAGATTAGAGCAAAATAATATATTGATCATAAGGCACAATAAAAAAATTAACAGTCTCATTCCATAGTTTCCATAGAAATAGCTTTGAGCTTAAAAGAAAATCTCTCAAGTTTCCTCACAATTTATCTTTAAAAAATTTCATATGGAAATCTAAAATAATTTCATTTCTGCTAGTTACATATAGCACAGCTTAAGAGATTAATCCTTTAAGTTTCTTCACTATATTTTAGACCTTTCTTATGTAAATCTAAAAAAATAATTTAATCTCTATTCTTTAACAAATAGTACTTGATAAAAGTTTTAATATTCTCTTATATATATTTAACATTCTCTTTATAATATATCATCATTTCTTATTATACTCAAAACTTGATATTAAAAATATTTTTAAATTTAATTTTAAAATTCTTCTAATACATATATAAAATTTTGACATTTAAAGGAATTTTCCTTACTATTTTATATTTTACAGCTTTTATTTCACATAAAGTAAATGTAGGCATTTTTATGACTAAAACTTGTTAAATGACTAAAAACACACTCATTTATTTTCCTACTTTTGGCAAAGCATTTGATCAGAATAAACAAAAACCACACGAAACATAAAAAATTTGATAAAAGTAAACTATATTCACATTTATACAAACACACGATAAAGAACTATACTTTGTTCGGCCCAAAAGTGGAAGAACATGCTTTACAGTGCATTTAACGCTCTCTTGATCGCTACTCCTATTCCGCAAATTCATAAATTATCAACCACTTAAATTAGATATCTTGGCGCTTTTCAATGAATAAGTTGTGGTAATTATTAGTACCTAATTTGTACATGTTCATTCATGTATTATATATGTGGCGAATGTTTACACTATTTACACATAAACTAAGCTTTACCTTCCTTTTTTCTTTGCAAGTTTCGCTAACCTTTTACGTTTTAGTATCATTTCGTACAATGCTTCTAGTCCTTCATCTAATCCTTCACCAATAATGGCACAGGCAGGCTGAACATGCCATAAAACATTCGGTCCTAGTTCATGTAGTCCCAAGATTTTTTCAACTTCTTGAGGCTCCTTAGCGTTCGGAAGATCTTGTTTGTTTGCAAGGACTAGGATAGGTACTCCAGAGTTTTCTGGGCAACGGATGGTTTTCATGAGTTCCATTCGTGCTTCATCCATACGCTCTTGATCAACACTATCCAACACAAAAACAATGCCATCAGTACACCTGGTATACGATCGCCAAAGTGGTCGTAATTTATCCTGACCACCAACATCCCACACAAGAAAGCTAGTTCCTTTTGCTTTACCAGTGGTTCCTTTGATCTTTTCACAATTAAATCCTATAGTGGGAACAGTATTGATATACTGATCGAATTTAAGTCTATATAAAGCAGTAGTTTTGCCTGCAGAGTCTAGTCCAATCATGACGACATGTAAAGGTTGATTCGGTGGGAGACTATCAAGAATTGAGCCGCCTTTCACCATGCCAGCACCCATATCCCAAACACACACTAATTAAAGATGACACACCTTTGTTGTGATGACATTCGAAAGTCTTTTATAAATGTTGGCATATTTATGCAGCCTAAATTTCAATCAAAATAATATTGTTTATTAAGATTTGAACGAATAATTCTTAACGCTTTATGAAGAAATGAATTCGGCTTAACATAATTCACTCACAGTATCTACCACGCCTGTCAAATTAAAATGACGGAAGGGAGACAGATGCTTCACAGATAAAATTATTTGATGATTCTTTTGAACAGAAAAACTAGAACCTTTCTGTCAATGAAGCACACATACCATAAAACTATGACAAACAAGCATTTGTTTCGGCACTAATTTTTTTCGTTTGTTTACTTACACCTGTTACTTCACACCATTACGAATAAAAACTAATTCATATACTTTGGTTCTTCAAATGCTTAAGATCCGAATTTATCAAGAAATAATGATACTCCGGTAGTCGGGAGAGAGAGAGATGTTGCACAGATAAAATTACTTGATTCATTTCAACAGTGAAACTAGAACCTTTCTGTTAATGAAGCACACACATTGACACATTGTTGACAAGCAGGTACTAATTTTTGTTTTGTTTGTTTACTTACACCTGTTTATTCACACAATTGCAAATAAAAACTAATTCATATACTTTGCTTCTTCAAACGCTGCAGATCGAAATTTATCAAAAAATAATGATACTCTGGAATTGCCAGCATAGAAGTTGCTCGGTAGTAAGACCTCCTACCTTCAAAGACCTGTTTGCCGCTGTGCCTCCGGCACAAGATCAGGTAAGAAACCACAGTGGCACACCCTTTTTTTTTTAAAGCACTGCCATGCAATCAAGAATGATGCCTAGATGCCAGAGAATTGTTATGAACAAGATCCGACTTAACCATTTTAATATACAAATACAGAATAGAAATCCGCGGATATCAATATAACTCCGCTCCCAGTCCCGCTGATACTTCGACTGCCATTGGTGTTATCATTTGACATGAGCACGGAGTGCAACGTGGGGTTGCTATGTTTCTTCTATTGGCGAGTAAACATTCAACGAATCATTTTTATCGCCAAACTCGTGGGCGGTCTTTAAGTCAGGTTGGTAACTTCTGTTTCCGAAGAGTATTACCGTTTACAATTTTGAAAAATACGATTTTTTTTAAATATTAGCGCAAGGAAGCGTACTCTATTCAGTTCTATTGCTATTAGAATTATAAGTAAATGTTAGAAATAAATATTCCATTCAGTTCTATTGCTATTAGAATTATAAGTAAATGTTAGAAATAAATATTGTATTCAGTTCTATTGCTATTAGAATTATAAATAAATGTTAGAAATAAATTCAAATATTCAGTTGCAATTTTCTATGAAAGCAAATAAATATAAATAGACAATATCCAATTCGAAATACTACGCGCACAGACAACTTCGCTTGGGGAATTTAAATGCAAGCTCATGGTTAAATGTTTGCTTCCATTAATATTGTACTCTATTATATTGATCATAACGTTTTTTAATTAAAGAATTAGCTAGAATAAAACAAACTAAAGGGATTTACTGAAAACCTCGTATCTCGCATAAAATCTAGATCACGGGGTCAAATGGTCGACTGGGAATCGATAAACCAATATTCATTGGCTACGGATCAGCATAGTCAATATTCAATGATCACAAAAAATTAATAAAATTGGTAATTAATTGTTTATTGATACAAAGCTATATCATAAAGTAAAAATGAAATCATGTATAATAAATATAAGGAAAAACGTTTCGTGTGTTACCTTCATTTATTAAACATCATGTTCTTCGCACTTAAACCATAAAATTAATTTCAACAGCAGCATGACAAAATAATTTAAGAAGGCCATATCTATAGAATTTCCGATACAGTCTCACGCGCTGGAGATAAATATATATTCCGCACAGTGTTGCCATAGTCGAAATCGTTGAATTTATTAATAAAAAATTGGTTAAAGTTTTACAAAATATGAAATAAACAATAAAATAAATTCCAAATTAGGGCTTCCAGATGCCCATATTCGGGTGCAGGATTACGTTACTCAAAATCTGATGTCTCTAGGTACCGTTGTTTTATCACAGTGCAAGAAACATATATACATTTATGCATTCTTCATTATTTAATTTCTTTAAATATAATGCAGGGCTCTAAAATTTGGTGGCAATCTGAAAAGTCATATGCCATTTATACTGATTCAACGAAAAATGCTGAAACGAAGTTAATAGCCCTTCTGGGCTAACGCGCTCTGGGCTAAAAAAGAAAGAAGAAAAGTTACATAAACAGTAAGAATCCAGCAATCATAGAACAGTGATAAAATCACATTCATCACAATATTTACAGTTGTCGTCCTTTAGTATATGAACTTGCACGCTGTTGTAAGAAATGTCAGTTTTAATATAATTATTTCATTTTAAATTTCAACATTAAGTTTATAAGTTCTCAGAAATTAACGATGTCATATTGTTTGATCTTGGTTTATTTGATTAAGGCAAAGCAAGTAAAAGCTATCTGCCTAAGGGAAGGGATACGATGCACGATTTTTTAAGGGAAATTTTCGGATCCCCGTTACTCACGACGGAATCCACGAAGGTGCTCATGCAGGCCTGCGCCAAGTCTAATCGGCGCGTCATGCAAATGTCTAGCGAGAGCCTTTATGTAGTGACGATATTAAAGGGACATTGCTTATGGTTAACATTTAAAATGAAGCATTATTAAAATAATATTATGAAAAACAAAAAAAAAAAAAATTACATTTTATCTTTTGTCTAAATATGCAAACATTTTGTGCAACATTCAATATGCAACATTCAAAAACCTTCCAGTCGCGTTTCAAGAATTCTGTTAAACTGCAAACTTGCCTTACTTCGGTCCGTCATAAGGGATACACGTCAACAATTGTCCAAAAAATTGAACATGAGCTGTATAACTTCATCTGGAACTCGCTAATTCATATCCAAAATTCACTGCCCTTGAACAAAAGTCTTGGTCCAGAGCGGAGAATGCAGTTAACCGTCATAAAAACACCCTTGCGGTTAAATTCGAAAAACTTCTTTTGCAGTCTTCCAGTTCAAGTAGTTCAAAAAATCTTCCCATTGTATAAGCATTAAGCCAATACTTAATATTTTTAATGTTAGTTTATCAGAAGAACAAGAGAGAATTCTAAAATATAATTTCAACTTCCCACAAACCTGTAAACCCTCGATTCCAAAGATTTTGGCTCCTATCGAAAACGCTTTCAAGTTCAGTAAAGTTTCAGATTCACAGAAAGAAATGATTAGGCATCTTATCGCTCATAATGTGAAATTCAATAATAAACCTTTGAAACCAAATCTAACCATGAGAGAAAGAGCTACAATGCGCGAAATTCATTCTAACCCGGATGTTATCATTTCAAAGGCCGACAAAGGTGGCCAGATAGTCGTCATGGATAAGAACACTTACATCGATGGTGTCACTAAACTCTTAAACGAAGAACCATATAATCCAATCCCTAAAGATCCTTCACCTTCGGACCTGTCAAAAATAAAAACTGCAATCAAATCTTCACAAATCATTTCAAGCAACCTAAAACATTCCCTTATCCCATCTGTTGCGAATTGTGCCAGATTATATGCTCTTCCCAAAATTCATAAAAGTGGTATTCCTTTCCGCCCTATTGTATCAAATTTAGGTACTGCCTCGTATGCATTAGCTAAATATTTAGTTTCTAGATTTTCAACTCTATTAAACAATAACATTTACACCATAAAAAATTCAATAGAGTTTGTAAAAAAGGTTAAACACATTTCTCCTAGAAATTTACTCATGGTTTCTTTTGATGTAAAATCATTATTCACCAATGTTCCAGTGGAGGGTGCATTAAGATGTCTAGAAACCAGACTTCGCGAATTTCATATCTCTTGCATCGAAATTGATGAGCTGATTTCTCGCACTCAACTCTATTTGAAACAAACACATTTTATTTTCGAAAATAAATATTACGAGCAAACTGAGGGATTAGCCATGGGAAGCCCCCTCAGTCCCAACCTGGCTGATATCTACATGCATTATTATGAATCAAAACTGTTTGAAGCTTTAAACTTTCTGGTATGGTTCCGCTACGTAGACGATTTTGAAGGTAATTAAGATGATTTAAATAAGAGTTCAGTGGAATTCAACATGATGAATTCTATTGATCCTGCTATTCAGTTCACTTTTGAACTTGAGACTTGCAATTCTCTCCGTTTCTCGACATTCTGGTCACACGTAACACATCCAACTTCAGTACTACGGTTTACCGTAAACCTTCGTCGGTTTGCCTTCCACCACACTTTAAATCATGTCATCCGACTAAACAAAAGTTAGCTTCATTTTATTCCTATGTTTTCCGTGCTCTTCAAGTTTGCTCCTCCAAACTATCCCTTGATGAAGAACTAAATTATTTAAAAGCAATAGCTATTGACAGGGGGCTTTTCACCCAACATTATTAATCAAGCAGTTAAAAATTCTCATCTCAACACACTAAAAGGCACCACTTGTTTTAGGAGATTATAAAAATTCTGTTGTCATTCCCTTCTTTCCATCAATTAGCTATAAAGTTGCACATATTTTGCAGAAATTTAACTTCTGGGTCGTTTATTCTCCCATCAATAAAATTCCGAGTTCCATACTCAAGGACCCCATTCCGGATATGAATTCCTGGGGTATTTATAGGATTCATTGCCAGTGTGGTTTATTTTACATTGGCCAAACTAAGAGAGCCTTAAAATTTCGCGTCAAGGAACATGAGGCGTATGTTAGAAAAAAGAAACACAGAAGTCTTCTGTTTATCCGAACCAATAGCTTATTTACAGTAAATCAGCACAGAAAACACATTCCTCTTTTCTGTATTTGGTTAAAATGATGAAGATAGTAAGAACATTCCTACTATAACATTTTCTGGAAAAGCTTTGCAACCTTCCACACACATGGTTCTAAACTAAATGTGTTTTTTCTGAGTCTCCATTTCGCATCATCATTGTTAAAGTAAAAAATTAATTGTCAGAATTTGAAATTATTCGAGCTGAAATTTATTTTAGAAACTGGTACTATATTCCTAAATTCATATCATAAGCATTTGTATTAGTACAAATAATAAATAGGTCTTTAACATTTTAAACATTATGTATCTCGGTTTTACAGCACACAGCATTTCTTTTATACCTTATACTTACATTATACCTTACATTTCAAGTAAAGAGTAATAAAATAAGGAATAAAGGTTTCCTTAGCAATAAAATCCTGTGCGTTACAAAGGTCAGATACTTGAAAGCACAATTGATGATGCCAATTGATGATGCATAAGATCTTTTATTTGCTTTCGATATTATATAAAAGTGTATTGCTCATCAGCGTAAGTAATCACCCAAAAAGTTATTTTGTCTGTACACTTAATAATATTTTGGAATGAGTCGTGTAAACGCAACGTATTAATTTTATTTAAAATGTATTTTCCCGATTGGCAACAACAGTTTTTCAGAACGATAATATATTGAACTGTAAGATTTTGAGCAGTAATGTTGACGGTAATGTTTCTGAATAAAGCAAATATTTAACAATTAATGTTTTGACTGAATGTGTTTTTAATAAAGGAACTAATTAATTGCTAACATTTCAGAAGTGGGATAAACTAGAATTATTATCTAGATTTAACAACGTATTGCCTTAACGTACGCTAAGCCTAAACTGAATGCGGAAGCTCGCCAAAACTGAAAGTAGAAAGGTACGTGAATTTATAAACTGTTTATGTTATGTCTAAGTATTAAACGGAAAGAACTTAAGTATAATTATTGTATTAGTATTTGAAAATTGAAGTCTAAGATGGCTTATTTGGCAAGAGGCAAAAAATGTGATTTAAAAGAACTTGCTTTGGAACTTGATGTAGATGTCCCTTCTGATATTAAAATTGTAGGCTTAAGAGATATGATTTTGAATAGTAAGAATTATA